ACTTTGTAGTATGTATTAAGTTGTATTAATCTGTAGTGTAGGACGTGTGTGTATAGTTTCTTCAGCACGCTTTACATTTTGTGTATGTTTTTTCAGCATGTCTTATTCACCGAGTGTCTTGCCAGTTTTGATTGGTTCATTGGTTTCCATTGCATAGTGGTCAAATTTAGAATGACACTGTTCACCTGTGGTCCAATATCGGGTATTTCGTGACTGCGGCTTTTACCTGTGGCCATCCTAGGCAGTAGTATCCCTTTCAGAACGGTCGCTTCGCTTCCCTCTATTGCAGACAGTGTAGATAAATTGAGGTGTAGTGGCTGAGGCGTTGTGGTACTAGAAGCACACTCGTCACTCTTTCCAGCATTTCTGCTGATTCCAACAGGATCCAACATTCCATTTTCTGTCAGATTTAGGTGGAATTGTGGGATTTTGTTGGATAGCGTGGAATTTTGTTGGATCTTTTTGTGGGATTTTGTTGGATAGCGTGGGATTTTGTTGGATAGCGAAGGATTTTGTTGGATTGTTTGGGATTTTGTTGGATAGCGTGAGATTGTGTTGGATAGCGTGGGATTGTGTTGGATAGCGTGGGATGTTGTTGGATATCGTTGGATTCCTGCTCCACCAACTATCCCAACTGTTAAAAAGTTGTGGAATTTGCAGGATACAGGGGGGAACATGTAGTACGTTTTGTGTTGATGATGTTGAAACATCTCTTCTTTGACCGTTTCTAAAACATGAACTTCACAAACTGCTCATGTGGCTTTGTAATATCTTGTCACATCTTGTGGGGAGTACAATGTACATTGTATATGGAGCATTTACTTCATATTTTACAGTGTCTTTGTGTGGAAATTCCTGAAGAACTGATCAAGACTGGCAAGGTCCTCATGAAGGCATTATGCCACACTCACTCGCACAAATGTTCATTTTGTTGTCACCATTCTCTCGTTTGCTTTCTTGTCACTTTATTGATTAAAGGAATAAATGTACCATGTTGTCTCAGACGTAACATGTGCCGTTGTCATCTCATTTCATTGCATTCTGTGTAGTTAGAATAGATTGGTGATCGGTTGCCAACCATTAAACATACATTATCCTGTCGTTGACGCCACTTTATTGTCTTGTGATACCATGCATTTGATTTCATTCGTGGTTTCTTACATCTGGGGTTCACCCCTTGCCCAATCCCAACCTCAACCAACCCACCCCATCCCACCCATCCAAGTTCCAACCCTCATCTCCACCACTGACACCCAGTATTTTTTAACCCAACCCCAACCCTACCCCTCACCCAGCCTACTCCCACCCAGCCTACTCCCACCCCCCCACTCCCACCCCTGATGCAGTATACCTTTCAAACTCAAACCCTACCCTACCTCAGACCGCTCCCACAACCATTCCTTCCCATTCCCCCCCCCATTCCCCCCCCCCCCTTCTCAGATGACCACTTTTTTTCTTCCAAGACTGTCCAAGTCTAGTCTCCACATTCATTTGTTGCCTTCACAAATCAGGACGAGACGTTTGAAAATATGGACCACATCAGACACATGATCCCACATTTACTGATCAAGACTTGAATTAAAAAACAACAACAACAACAACGTAATGAAGAATTCAGTATAGAATTTCCCCATTGCAGTAAAGGGGGAAAAACCACACACTAAAATCTGCACCACCAATGCAAAATGCAGTTAAACAAAAAACATTAAGGACATTTTCAGTGTGTCAGTTAATATTTTCAATTAGGGAAGGACAAACTCATAGAAGTATTTTTTTATTTCAGAACGTATGAAGTGCCAAGTTACTTACCCCAAAAGAGTGTCCCCAAAGGATCAGAACATTCCGTGCTACAGTCCATGATTTAAGATACTGGTTCTGAAATTTCCTTAACTTAGTCAGCTGTATGAACATGATGAAACTACATGTATCTTCCTTTAATGAAAATACATTTTGATAATTGGTTAAAGGGGCACTAGGTCCCGAAATCCCCGAAAATGTTATGTTTTGGATTGTTTACTTAGCCTATTTCAAACATCTGGTTGAAAGGAAACCAACCTAATGTCTTACCGTTTCTGAGAAAAGACGAAAAAAAACCCGCTTGTTTACATCGGACATGACGGAGTACGAATACGTTTTTCGTGTTGTTCTCATGTACGCTATACACGTTGTGTGTCTCGGGAACAGCGCGCGGTGACCAATCACCAATGCAAAAATTTGTGGTTTCTTCAACGTCCGCAAAAGGCGAAGACTTTACGCGTACGAATGAAATCACAACTAGCATCCAAACAGCTCGAATTTATGGGGTCGCAAAAGTGGACCCCGAAATTCGTTCTCGCACGCATAATACAGGAATAACACAAAAACGCCCAGTTTTGAAAGGATAGTTGTGTGGATGTTCATATCCTACTTTTAAATGTTATTTCCGATTATCATCATCTCGTTCAAAGCGCGTTTTGTAGCCCAATTGGGCTGTTCCAGGACCTAGTGTCCCTTTAATTCCGGATAAGAGTTGCAAACTCATGAAGTACGTTTTCTACATTGGGCCGGATTAAGCCCATTCATTGGCGTTAGGGGGTCATCCTATACAACAGTACCATCCGGTTCACGAGTGACAGACAGACAGTCAGTCAGTCAGCGAGATAGCTACAAAGAGGACAGTAGGCTGGCCCTCTGGGACCAGCAAAAATAAGAGGCTTGAAGGATGACGAAGTTCCAAATGAGTTCAGAGCAGTTTTGCAGTTGTCACCGATGATGGCTAATCTTCATTCCATGTGTACATTTGAAGCCGGTCGCAAATTCACATGACATAATGTGAGCTTGATCACATAACAGAATAGGGCTATGCCGAATATTCAAATATTTGATCGATTATCAAAATATTCAAATATGTATATTTTGATTTGAACATTCATAGTAAAATGCAACAACATAAAAAGGGGGGAAAAGTCAACTTTTTTGTAACAGAATTGCATTCTGGAAGCTTATTTCAAGATGTTGCCAGACACTTAAAGGCGGCTGATGTATGTGGCCAACAATAACATGCAGAATCCATGCCAAGCATGTGGAAATAGATTTTGACAAGTGAAATTCATTCTTTGCAATGATGTATTGATGTAAACCGTGTTGATATAAACTCTGATGAAACCTTTGTGACGGCATTTTTTAAACTGGAAATCGGATAACCGGAAATCCGCCTTCCGGTATAAATGAATACTGGATCAACTGGAAGGTCTAAGATTCAAATATTCAGTTATTTAAATAATCCCAGCCCTTTCTTAACAGAAGTAGTGCTGAAATGCCCTAGGTACGATTTACGAGACACTTATGCACTTTTGTGCCTTATTTAAATGCATGGATACCCTAAAGCAGTTGCATTTTTTAATGTATTTATTTCACATTTTAACTGGGTACCCCATTCAGTGGAATCCACTGGTCTCCCATGGGGCTGAGTAAAGAGAAAACAAGTTGCAGATTTAGATGTGGGAGAAAAATCCTAAAGGACTCTTCTGAGGAAAACCCCGAATCAAGTAGGGACTGAAAACCCAGTCCACATATTGGCCCAGGCAGGAATCGAACCGGCGAGGAAAGAACCGCTACGCCAACCCGACTCCCCTTACACAGAATTGTCTACAATGTGCACGAGTACCCACTTAACAGTTCCAGTTGGGTAGACCACTGGAATGCACGTTTGAACGCATTACCACCCTCGCTTGGTGCTCACACGAAGACGCTGCAGATTTATGCACATTCAGGATCAAATTAAGTCATGCGTACCTCCTGCCTTTTGCGCAAGCCTGTACTCGCGCATGTTTTTCCCCTTCAGTGAGGCTTCGAATGTGGTCACAAACGGCCATCTGCAGAGTGTACGCGGAGTCCATGGTTTCTACACTGTCCTGTATTTGTCTGTATAGTGTTGCTTTTACAGTCTCGTCTGTTTGTCCTATTTTGTCTCATTGTCAAGGAGTGTTGGTGGTACTTGTGTTGTTTGTCACTGTCTCTCTGTTTGTCTGTCTGTTATTATCATTCTTTCTTCATCTTCTACCTGCATCATAATCTGTTTTGGTTCTCATAACATCTGAGGGGGGAGATAGAGTAAATTTTTTATCCAAACTTTCATACAAACAAAAATAATGTCTGGTCATAACAGATTCTTGCAGAATTTTTTTAAGTGGATGGAAACTGTACTTCCCTGCGGCAGGGGATTTCAACGAAAAAAGGCTCTGGGTACAATTCATGGAAAAAATGTTGTGACCTGACGCCACTTCAGGGGTTGTGTACAAAGGCTATAGAGAGTCAAGCCAGTTTTCTAAGTATTTCTTAACAAACTTGGAAATGTTTTTCAGTCCTGGATTTATGTCTTATCATCAGTTTTGCCATGACTGACCTTCATTGAGATGATATATAAAGAAAAAAAGTGGAGTTAGGTTGCAACATTTTTTTCCAAATTCATAATTGGGACAAAGGCACTGCCAATCGCCTCTGGATAGCTCAGTTGGTAGAGCACCGGTCTTGTGTCTGTTGGTCACTGGTTCAAACCCAGCTCTGGTCAAATTCATTTATTCAACCAAAATCATGATCAAAGTGAAATCGCCTTTTACAACGGTCCTGCTTTGATTGGAACGTCTAACCCTAGGTCATTCTGTGACTCGGGGTCAAAAGTGTGACATTTTGTCCTGTCCCTGTTACCTTGGTACTTTGTGATTTGCCATTCAAGTATCATTAAGAATGACTTCAAATGATTGTTTTATTTGTTGGGTAGGCAGTTTGCTATTCATAATCACTCTTGGAGGATGACTGCATTAAGGAGTGCATCAGAATTATAAAATCATAGATGTCAGATGTGACAGGGACAGGAAAAAAGTGGACCCCAAATCTATAGAATGGCCCAAATGTATATTTCAGGTCAATCCAGTCAGTGAGAAGTTTGCACCACTCTGGTTAGTCTTCCATTTTGTTATGTTTGGTAATTAATGAACAACGTTACTCTTTCTTTGTTTCAGAGAATGGCATTGATGAGTCCGACGTCCAGCAGACAAGGTGGGTTTACAATCGTTCTTTTAGACATTTCGTAATTGATGCAATTGTTTAGGATGTTTTCAAACCTATAATTGTAGGTGACCAGGGATGGAATCGTAAAGATCAGACTTAGCCCATACATGACTTAAAGGGAAAATACAACATTTGCAAACATCAAAAAATAAAACTACCAAATCATTTTGAAATACCTTGCTAGACTGTTAGTGAATGACAGTGTAAAGCATCCTGTAAAATCATGGCACCTGGTATACTGTCATTTTCAAGAAAAGTGGTATTTTTGTATCAATTTCCAACGCTGATCAGCCGATCAGCGTTGGAAAAAAATGGGTTTTTTTTTTTCAAATACTGGCCCCAATTGACCATGGCACTTGTTTGCAATCGATTACAAACCTATGAACAGGTACGAGCCAGCTAGACTGGTTCCCTGACCTTACAATTCCCCAATGTATGTAAACTGCTCTGTTTCTTCTTATATGGAGTCAGGGAACCAGACTACAGGAAAATGATTGTTTTTCTTGGTTTTTATAGCATTTTCGAACCAGCAACCTCAAAAAAAGTCAGTGTAACTATATTTGCTATATATTTCCAACCCCCCAATTCCATCCATTTCTGAAAATTACAGTAAAAGCAAATGATGTATATTCCCTTTAAGCCACCCTTGGGTCGACCTGGTATTTGCCTACGCCGTGATGGAACCATCGGCATTAAGCAGAAAAGTAATGCTGAAGTCACTAAACTGAGAATGCATGTAATTCTCGTGGAACAAGCAGCATCTCAACACAAAATAATCGCAACCATGTTTATGTCACCCACGAAGCGACGACAATTCCACGGCATAGACAGTCATGTGACTTCTTTAACAATAGCGTGTTGATAATAATGAAACGACATTCCATGGCCACATTTATTAATTCACTCGTTTTTTTTGCTGCATGCTGATTGGCTACACAATGAAATAAGATGATCTTGATGCGCACACGACGTCTTAACTTCCACGCAGGTTGACTACGGTTGATTCCTGCCTGTCGAGAACACGTCACAAAAGTTGACATTTTTCAACTCTTGCCACCATTGATTTTGTTAGGGCCGACTGATGCCAATCGTCTTAATTATCATCGCAGTTACACTCGGGTCGCAAATATTTTGACTAATTTGTTCCCGACGGTCGTAGCTCAGGCGCAGCTTGATCCTGAAAAGTCGGTCACTGTATGTTCTGTGTCTTGGCAAGGTCAATCTGAATAGTGATCTAACACCCCTTCCCCTCCCCTTGGGCTGCCCCAAAAAAAGGGAAAAAATCATGCAGAAAAAGTAGCACGTGCCTGCTTTCCGCTCGGGCGCTCCCCCCTCCACGGCTAAACTCCCTCTTGAGCCAAACGTGGATCCACCCCTCTAAGGCAATATGAATTTTTGAAAAACGTTCTTGTCCAGGCTTTTTGAAAAAATGGAAGGAGGAGGTCCCTCTTTTCCCAAGATGGCGGATTTTCTAAGATGGCAGATGGATTCTTTCACTGTCTGGACTTTTTTGCTGATACTTTCGTGTCTAAAGGATCTGTCTGTCTTTCAACCAGTGTTTACACTAGCAAGCATTTTGCTGAAAACAGATAGACAAGATATATTGTAAAAACAGAAATGCGATGTGAAAATAGGCGATTCAAGAAGAAAAAAAGGAGGCAGGCAGGAAGAAGGAAGTTAGTGGGGAAGAGAAATTGATTTAATTTTTGTTTTGCTTGGCCTAATCTGCTCCTCTCCCTTGATCCTCTTTCTTGCAGTGAGAAGGAAGCGTCAAGCTTTGAAGGGGCCAAGTCGCTCAAGGACCAGTTTGAGAAAGGAGCGGTCAGCAACGTGGCGGTCAAGAAGAGCTTTGACCGGGACGCCATCACCAGGACAAGGGAGGACCTTGACCAGACCACACCAGGTGAGTGGCCCAACACAGCCAGGGAAGGCAGCATGGGGTGCATACCTATGTTCGGCTGATGCTCACGCGAAGACACTGTGGCTAATAGCTTTGCCACAGGAAGTCGTGCATCCTTGGCACACGATCCAGAACAATATGCACACACTGTGTGTCCCATCCACGGTGACTACAAATTCGTATCCTTGTGGAGACACACACACAATAGGGAACAAAACATTGTAAAGGTCTCCACAGGGCAATTTCTATAGATGAATAGGTCTCCACAAGGTTTTCACGAAATAGATATATGGGTTTATACTCAAAAACTAAGAATTTCCAAGGTGGGTTGATCTGTCGCAAATGAAAGAGTTTTAGAAAAGGGATATTAAGTCCAAATTTCAGCCAAGGAAACTAATTCTGGTTAAAACAAGAGCATTTTGAAACTTCACTTTCAAAATTGAACACTTTACTACACGAGAACAAAGAAATGTCTCCACAAGGATACAAATTTGAGAATGTGTGCTCTCAGAAGTGGTTAAAAGCGCCCTCATTTGCTGACGCACGGAGCCCATAGTTGCAGTCTCAAGTGCATCACAAGTAACTCACAAGTTGATCACAAGTCAAATCATAAGGCAATCATAAGTCAAATCACAAGTCAATGTTAGGTTTTGCCCTTCACCGACGTATGGACACTGTATACACAGTGTGGTACCTCCCAAATGAAAGTTTGGAAAAAAATCACTTGGTCGGGACTCGAACCCACGACCTCCTACCTTCTAGTGCAGACGTCTTACCACTCGACCACCCAGCTTGCGGGATCGGTTGGCTGGTTCGAATCTGATGTACATTTAGCAGCGGGTACCGCAATTAAACTATTCAAAAGATCACAAGGCAACCAAATCACAATTCCCATCACAAGTAAACGTCCCAAGTAACAGGAAGTAAAGAATGACATATATGAATGCTTTTGTCATTAGAATAGCCTAAGACTAAATGCCTTGTGAGGTAATGGGCTCCGTGCTCCTACGAAAGAGGGCGCCCTTTTACCTAGCAACGACGTCCCATGGGCGGCACATTTAGCTGGTTGATGCGCACCGTTCCTTGTGTGTGACGCACGTACACCAGTGGATTTGTACTATGTACACACAGTGGTACAGCAGCGCGTTGCGACAAAATTGCAGTCAGGCAAGATGGCGTCGTTCAGTCACCCCCAACTGTACTATCTTTGCCGGTGAGGGGGTACTTGTGAACGGAGCAGATAGTATGTGATGGTATGCTTTGTGGTGGCTTGTGAGGACATCAACTGGATGTACAGCAACTGAAGAGTTTATTCCAAAACGCGATAAACGCTAGTTTGTTACCGTTTAGAATCCCACCGTCTCCTGTCTGCCCAAAATCAGTGTCCACAAGTTTTATGTAGTTAAATACAACTTAATGAATTCATAAGGCGAAAAGTGAAGTTTAAAAGCAGCTGTTATATCGTTTTTATTCTTTATAGTTTCATAATCGTTGGAATTTTTCACGTTTTTTTCAAAATGGATACATTGCGTTTTGAATATAAACTCTTCAACTTCTTGCAATGGATATTTTGACCTTAAACCATGTTTTTTTTCCCCACCTCACAGAAGACAAACAAGTATCTGAAAGTGAACCAGTACTGAGACCCGATGTCGTCCGTTCAGCCGACAGTGTTGACGACCGTGTGGCCATCGCTGGCATGCGATCCCTCCGAGACCAATTCGAGAGAGGTGACAGCAGCCTGTCCAGCTCCGGCAAGTCCTTTGACTTCCAAGGGGAAATCCGAGCGGCGAAGGAAGCAGAGGTACAGGCCACGGTCGGACAAGTCGCCGAAAGTACCCCAGTCCGGAGCGAGGATGTCATCCGCTCGGACGTCAAAGCCGATGAGGTGAAGACTTCTTCAGGCGGTATCCGTTCACTCAAGGATCGTTTTGAAAAGGGAGCTGTCAGCAATATTGAAACCACACCGGTAAAGCCCGTGATTGAGGTCCGTCCCCTTGAGGACTATAACCCAGGGGATTCCGAAAGTGGAGTCTCTGAAAACACTCCCGTCGTTCGGGATGATGTGGTTCGTTCCTCCGAGAAGGTAGATGATGGATTTTTCAAGGCCGGTGGTGCACGGTCCTTGAAAGAGCGCTTCGAGCAAGGAAAAGTCTCCAATATCGAAGGCAAACCTAAGGAGAAGATTGAGATCTCGCCAAGATCTCTGGAAGAATACGGAGCAGATCAGGATTCTATCGATCAAGGGGGAGTTTCTGAAAATACACCTGCCCAGCGGGATGATGTCGTCAGAGAAGGCAAAGGGGAGGAGAATCCAGGCATCAAGAGGGGTGCTGCTCGCAATCTGCGAAGCTTGTTTGAGAAAGGAGAGGTGCACAACATCGAAGAGAAGCCCAGAGCACCCCTGGAGCGGTCTCCAAAATCCCTGGATCAGCTGGCTCCGTCCACAGAAGGCGTCGTTGAGAACACGCCGGAAGTCCGTGCAGACCTCGCTCGGGAGACGACCGTCCGTGACGAGCCGATGAACATTCAGACTGGCGTATCCCGCTCCTTAAAAGACCGTTGGGAAAAAGGGGAGGTGGAGACTGCCCCTATGAAGCCGAAAGAGGTCGTCGACATCAAGGCAGAGCTGCGGGGACAAGGCCAGGTTGCCGAGAGCGAACCAGCGGTGAGAGAGGATCTTGTCCGCGAATCATCCGAGATTCCAGAGGAGACTTCGGCTGGGGCCAGTTCGCTCCGGGCCCAGTGGGAAGCTGGAGAGGTGACCCATGCCGAGAACCGGCTGCAGAAGGAGGAACTTTCTCCCAAGAGGCTCTCCTCCTACTACGATGGTGATCAGGAAGAGGTGGAAGTAGCTGCCAACGACAAGATGGAAGAAGTAGTTGAAGAGGAGCAATTGGTTCAGGCTGAGGAGGAACAAGCGGTGGAGCAACAGGTGGAAGCTGAGGAGGAGCAATCAGCAGAACCCGAAGCTGATCAAGAAGTGGAAGCTGAATCCGAGCAAGAAGTTGAAGCCAAAGGGGAACCATTGGTGGAACTCGATGTAGAGCAAGAGGTGGGAGTCCAGGAGGAGCAGCTTCTTCAATTTGATGCTGAGCCAGAGAAGCAGGATGTGGAAGAGGATGAGGCAGTCAACGGGCAGCCGGAGGAGGAGAACCAGCAGGTCATCAATGGACACACAGAGGAGAATGGTCTTGAGTCGGAGGTTGCATCCCCCCAGTTGGATGGAGAGGAGCCCACCACGGACTTTCCAGAGCAGGTATTTATTCAAGTCCTATCTTGTGTGCTTTGATCCCAACCCTGTCAGAAGCAAAACAGCCCATTAGGTTTAAAAGTCTGTGGGACCCATAGAGCTATATTAAATTACTAGAGCGCTAACTCAATATTCTCCGCACGGAGACGCTTTGAAGCCGTCCTGGGCGCAGACATTTTGAATTCATGTGCGTGTTTGTAGAACATAATGAAATTAGATGGATTGAATTTTGAAAGTGTACTCTACATGCAACGCGCAAGTAGAACAACTTAGTGTGTCATTGATGGTTCAAAAAAACGTGACGGCAAAAAGCATCTGCAGCGAATACGCGCACGCGTTGCGCTGTTTGCGTAGAGCAAAATGACACGCCCATATGCTGATCGTGCGTTTCGGTTTTGGGCGTATTAGCTTCGATAACGCACCGGTATGGAATACAAACGCAGATATGCAAATAGCCGTACAAAAGCCGTACAAAATTTCTAGGTCTCCAAACATGGATGCGCCCAGCAGGCATTACTTTGTATACGAAGTTAGTGCTCTAGTAATTTAATGTACATGTAGCTCTATGGTGGGACCTTGCTGCATTGAGCCATTTACACCAGCGCATAAACGGCCAATTCTGAAACAATGAGAGCTAGTCCCATTGAACAATGCCAGAGCTGTATCCTGCTGCAGTTGGTGAACGCAGACTCTGAGGCATTCTGGCCTTGAGACTTTTGACCTGATGGATCTTGCTACGCTCAGCAGGCTCGTCATTTTGACAAGTTTTGCATGTTGCTGCGTTTAGCAGGGTTTCTAGCCAAAATATCCTTGCAGGTTAGGGTGAATTACATATGCTGCATATTTAATTAAGCTGTAATTGATTGTCATTCATTGTAGAAATGGTGACAATTTTCACCAAAAGTGTTTGAATTTTGCAGAATGCCAGTCACGTTACTGTATGAGCGATGTCACTTTCTCATCATAAATGCCACTGTTTCAGAAAAATGGGAAAATACATCGTTTTATTCCTATTCTTATTTTAACTGGGTAGCCCATTCAGTGAAATCCACTGTTCTCCCATGGGGCCCAGTAAAGAGGAGACAATGTGAAGAAATTACAGTTTGAGATGTGGGAGGAAAACCCCAGAAGAATATTCTTAAGAAAACCCACAGAACCCAATCCGCATAATTGTGCGGGCAGGGTTCGAACCCGGGTCACAGCGGTTTGAAGCTGAGGAAAGTACCGCTACGTCAACCCGACTCCCCAAACTTGTTCCATTATGGTTCATGGTGTTGAGGGTAAGATTACAAATCACAAAAAATTATGTGATTTCACTACAGCACATCCTTTGTCTTTGTAATTACCCAGACTGCACCAGGACAGGACATGGCATCATGGGAGATAAAGGCTGCTAGAGCGGCAGCCCTGCAGGATGCCGAGGAGGCTGCGGATGAGGGCACGCCCGTGGATGGTGCAAACACCGGCCTGTTGATTGATTTCTAAAACGGCTTGCCACATGAGTAATCACATGACAGTTGGATTTGACGGCGACATCGGTGCGGGAGTCAACCATTGGATACGACATGTCACATGATGGTCACGTGACAGTTGGAATCAAGACGCGGAAGGGAACTATTTTACCAATTTTTCAGGCTACGCCTGCAAGACTATATGCTTCCAGTAGAGTTCAGTTTATAAGTAGCTGTTGTTTTATTTTGTTTTTTGCCAACGTGGAAACTGTTGCTATCGCCAAGGATATATGATACAGCATCCTCGCTACCTATGTGTTGCCGTAGAAACGCATCAACCTTCTTGGATTGGATAATGCCGATGTGTGCCCATCGTGCGCGTTAAAGTTGTGGTGTAATGTTGCGTTGGACTGCGATGTTGACAACCTTGATTAAAAATTGCTGATTTGAAGAGCGAAGCCCAGAGTTGATTTGCCTTGAGAAACACCAGAACACATTTAATTTTTTGTTTTTGTTTTTAACAATTGAAAAATAAGGAGAAACTGAGGAAGTAATAATCTTGCAGCATGAGACTGATGTTTAATTTTAATACGTTTGAACATGTTGGTGTTGATCCGGACAATATATCGCTAAGGAGAAAATGATGTCAGCTATTATTGGCCACAGAGGGTGCTCTACATGAGGGCGCTCTCACTGTGCCATGTGATGAATTTGCCTAGCAACAACCTAGCAACTGCACGCCACACCCTGCCACAAGTGGACGGATTGCCCGCTCCAGCGAAAGGATTGTGTTTGAAACTGTTGGATAAACGATGGGATAGAAGTGTGGAGGAAATATCGCTTGGATGTGTCAGCGAATTGAGAAATGTTCAACCTCATTCCCAGAGACGTTGTTGTTGACACACTGCGTTACCTCAGTGAGGACTGGGATGATGTGTACGCTTGACCTTTGTGGCGGCAAAGGTCAAAGGTTACAGGTTACAGATGGATGAAAAGCGGTTGTGATGCGTTTAAAGCCGCGTAGTCTACTAGGCAAAATTTTTATAAATTTGGCCTTATAAGCCAATTGGCTTCTTTTTTTTTCAGTACCACCGTTGTCATAGTTACTGCTGTAGAGTTTTCAATCTTTGTTCTTTTTTTTTGATAAAATGCCTTAAATGTCAGTATCTAGCCACAAGCCTATTAAGAAAAGTGTACAATTTGATTTTTTTTTTACAAAATTGCAAAACAAAAATGTACAGAGCAATAATAGCAGTACATGTAGAATGCTTGTTAACCATTTCGTTTAACTAGGGACGGAAATTTACCTATATTTTAATTTATGTATGTATTTTAATGCAATTTTTTATATTCATGTGCACTTGTACCAGTAGTATCAGTGATGTGTTGTAGCCAATCGTCGTGCAATGTCGACAGTGGTATCTTTTAATTATTCGTGGAATCGACCTCATTAGCATATATCAGGATTATTTTTACTTTATATGGATCGCGACAGGTTTATATGAGAAACGTGGATTGCAAACATTGGGAGAAACTTCTTTTAGGATTTTTAGGAATTGTGAAGCATTGTTGATTGATATTTTTTAGTTTTGAGTATTACCATAAACTTTGGTTGGGTTTGATAAGTACTTTCTGCGAGTACGAAGCCAGGTTGATGTCAGGCGATTTAAGCAGAGAAATTTCACCAACGTTGAAATGTTACCCTTATGGAAAATTCTCTTTCACTTTTCGCATTCCTTTAAAAATGAACAGGCGTTTTGTGGACACCAGTTGGCATAGTTACCAAAAGTAGGCCTTCATGTATACATCATTTGGAACATCTAGAAATTTGGTTAAGTCTTTCTTTTTTCCCAAAGAGTTTGAAACAAGTCAAACACAAGTCAATCACAAGTCAATCACATGTCACACACAAGTCAATCACATGTCAATCACAAGTCAATCCCAAGCCAATCACATGTCAGTCACATGTCAGTCACATGTCAATCACATGTCAGTCACATGTCAATCACAAGTCATCCACAAGTCGTCCAGTTTCAAGTCAAGTGACAAGATATTCCGTTGAACTGTGACAAAGGGATTTTTAATTCTTATTTTATTTTTTAATACTTCTTTTTATATTTTAATTGGGTAGCCCATTCGGTGGAATCCACTGATCTCCCATGGGGCCCAGTAAAGAGAAAACAATATGAAGAAATTACAGTCTTAGATGTGGGAGGAAAACCCCGGAAGAATATTTTGAGGAAAACCCTCGGAATCAAGTAGGGACTGAAAACCCAATCAACACATAGGCCCAGGTAGGAACCGAGCCCGGGCGGCCCAAAGCGGTGAAAGACGAGGAAAGTACCGCTACGCCAACCCCACTCTCCTTTTTTCATTGTGACTTTTCTTGTGATTTGATCTGTAATTTGACTTGTGATCGACTTGTGATTTATACTTATTTTTCCCAATACCTATATGTTCAGGCATGCAACTTTTCCTCGGATCAGCTGATTTCCTCTTTTTTTACTCCCCATGTGTGCCATTGAAAATAGAAAAACACTGTACAAAGTCTGGGAAAAATTTGAATTTCCGCTTTTTTTTGTGATTTCCCAGTTGCATGCCTGTATGTTCCTCAATACATGTACCTATATGTTCCCTAACCCTATCCCCAACCCTAACCCTAAGGATTTGGGGGAACATAAGGTATTGGGGAACATCAGGTGGACCCCATTGATTTGACATCAATCCTGTTTTATTACCCCATCCCTTTATTTCCTCACCCAATTGTTGCAGCTGCCTAAACCTCCCATACTCGTTTACCACCCAAGCACCTCTTTGTTCTCTGCCCAAGTGCCGCCTTAGAGGTGTGCATCAGAGCCGGGTACCTGGGTACTCGATCGCTGATGTCAGGAACCGGTTCCAGATTGTGGGATCGGGTACCCGTAACCAACTTTACAAATTACTTAGTAGCTTCTCAGACAAAAAAAAGGAATTGGAATGCCGTTTGTGGAGAATTTTCAAAATGAAAATAGGTTTACATGTACATGAAAAACCAAAACAGATATCACGTTTTATGTGCATTTTTTTTATGTGCAACGGATCACATCAGAGACACACAACTTCCAGAATTTGAAGTTTGGTGTCGGGTTTATTTTACGGGTTTCCGGATATCCGTTTTTACTTCAACCCGTTTTTACTGCTACCCATAAATGCACAACACTAGTTCCCCTTCAACTGAAAAAAAAATTAAAAAAAATTTGAAAGTACTAATTTGTGATGCAGAGCTGTAACGGTTGCTTCCTTAATTCAAGAGGGTCCATTTTTTTGTAATGATTTGGGGTCGGATTTAAACATCTATGCAAAAGAGTTTGATGTCAGAGATGAAGAAAAAAAAAGTTAAAATTTTAATGTGGTAACAGTCTTAAACACTCTATCATTGTGATTGTAAACTGGTTCGTCATCGGTGTTTAAAATATTGTGGTAGTAACTTACACGTACGTTGCCAATAGTGTTTGTTATTGTATAAAATCACATGCGGCCATTCCTGAATTTGGATGTTTGTAACTATGGCTTTTGGGAATGGCAATATATCGCCTAGGGCTATTAGCCAAAGCCATTGACTACAAAAATCTACCGATATGTACACGCGCGTATGCAGTATTATAATGAACATATATAAAACCCCACCAAAAAATTAAAAATATTAATACAATTAACAGTGCTATCATCAATTCCTCGTACTGTACAGAAACAAAAGATCAATATTTTAATCCGTGCCCACTACGCATGCACGGGGAACTATTACACGTGCACTTGTCTCATGCTTAGACTGTTTCCCGCCCCCTCCCAAGTCCAAATGAGAATGGGGTCAGGGAACCAGGCTACCTCATGCTACACTGCATGTTATAGCCCTGCGCGTCACGCGTGCGTGCAAGCGTCACGCGCGTAAGTCGGAAGTTTGTGCGCGCATGTCAGACGTCAGTCGGGGCTATGATTGGTTAAACCCCATTGGGCGGGCTCAATGAATCGATCTATTGTGTTCAAACCGGACGTATTTTCGTCAGAAGGTTTCAGCAGACATTGTTATAGTGGTGGTCCTATAAAGCCTTTCCGTCATCTTTTGTGACTTGTAAAATGAAATGCACTCAAGTACTGTTGTGTTGTTTTAAATCTGTCATTATAAAAGACAAACATTTAAAAGAGGTCTTTCTGTTATGTAATTATGTATTTTATATCCTAACAATGTGTTGCATGATTGTGTCAAATCGCTACTTGAAGGGGCGGGGCAAGTAGCTATCAGGAGGGAGGTTCAGTAGCTCGATAAAGAGATATTTTAAGGGTGAATTTGGATGACATGTTTATGAACGATTACAGTTGCGAATGGTGTTGTTTTTGAACGCAATGTATTTTAAGAGGGGGACAATTTCTTCCTTGATGACTTGTTCGAAGATTGTAGTTCTGTCGCTTGTAAAAAAAAAAGCAGCTCATCTGAAATACACTTTTTAGTGTTCCTGCTCTAGAAAAACTTTGGAACTTTTAGTACCATATCAGGCGCCTATCCACAAGACGTAGATGAAACTTTTTAAAGACCTATATTTCTCGTACTAAAGGAAAGACACTTATAGCATTACTATATTAAAATGCCTGAAGTTTGGATTGGAGGATACCTATCTGTTGGACGTGGCATTAAATTGTCACAACTTTTATTTTTTGTTTTAGATTTTCCCTTACATTGTAAGCATTTTAACAAAGTTAGCCTAACTTGGACACTGACAAAAGCCACTATTAATTTTAAAAATTAATATGCAGTTTATTGTACATGTTTGGTCAAAAATTCCAACACAAAATGTTGGAGTAATGTTGATTTTATTTTTTAACAATTTAGTATCCTGCTTTTGATTTCGTAGATTTCTTTCACCTGATGAGTTTCTGAAGATTTGATATGTGCAACATTGGTATTTGGACAAAACACTGTAAAAAACATAAACTGAGCAGTAGAGAAATTAGAATACGCTGTCGCCATTTTTTTTATCTAGTGGCTCAGCCAGAACAATTGACAAAGCTATGTTTCTTTCGCACTCGCCTTTATTACATCTTTTTTTTTTCTTTTGATGTGAAAAGCTTTTGTAAGTACTGAAAACGAGCGTACTTTTACTGCAGCTCTGTTTGAAATTTTATTTAAAAACATCGCTGTTCTCTAAATGTTTTGCTTGCTTTCTTAAAGTCCATTCCTCTTTCTATATTTTTTTTTTGGGGGGGGGGGGGATTTATTTAATTTACACTGATGAACAATTGAATAATGGCTTGAACATTAATTTCCAAAAAGTCGTAGCAACTATGTTGAACTATGTGTTAAAAAAAAGGTTTTGACGATCATTTCAGAAACATTGTCACTTTACTTGTACTTTATACATGTAGTAGAATATTCAACGCTTAACTTTTAATGGTGATTTTTTTGTTAAGTGCCTTGTTGTTATCTGAATGTCATCCATCCATTGCCCACTTTAGAATCACGGCCAGTTCAGAATCACAAATTGGTAACTCACATAAGCTCAGTGAAAATAATGTGCAAGTTTTTAAAATGCCTATTTAGGAATCATGTCCCGTTTAGGAATTGTGTACCGATTAGTCATCTGGCCGTGTAAGACTCTTTTTTTTTTCCTCTTTTTTTGGGGATTAAAAATCTTTACAAGTTAATATTGATAAACATCTGTAGTTGTTAATTGAGCAGGCTACCCGCCAAAATGAATGCATTCATGTAGAGTTTGTGCTGGTAACCAGTCAAATCTGCCTGGACAAGAGCTATGCTATGTCTGTTTGTATCAGTAACTATTTCTACCTTTTAGAAAATCACTTCTTTTTTATGCAAAGTTTTTCTTGGGACCCTGAAACCAAACAGCCAAAGATTACCCTTAACAAGCCTATTTTAGGAATATTAGCAATGAATATTGACTAGTGATATAAATATATTGCACCGTTGGACGTATAACACCTGAAACTATCCGTATTAAGAGTTTTGTTATATAATAATATAGGTCATGCAATGCTGATTATGAGGACATCTGTAATAGCTGTATTTATATATGAAGTTATTGATATAACAATTGTTACTTTCAACCAAATGTTGCTTATCAAAATGTGTTTAGTTTAATCTATGCATGGCTGATGAATATGTAATGAGAGAAATAAATTTGCTCAACGGTGATTGGTTCGCAAAAAAAAGTGGGCGGGGTCACATGTGACTCTTGTTCGTGTTTTGTACATGATAATTTACATTCAGCGTTCCCCTAGAAAAAATAAAATTTAGATTGTGCACTGGCGTGCAGTTTATTGAACAATGATAATTTCGATTATTTTTTTCAGGAGAACACATACTAATGTATGAAAACTATTTGACATCCCTGGTTTTTTTGGTGCCGGGGAGGGGGGTAATTTTATTAAAAAGTGCACTTTTTTAAACATTTCAAATAATGTCCATGCTTTTCCGGACAACTGAGGGCGCTGTTGCTGTGATGACATTTCTGGGAGACACTTCAGTTTGGGGGTTTTCTGTTCAAACTGTGAACCCAAAATTTGCTCATTGAAAACATTGTGAGAATGGGTTGCTAATTGGCTATGCTGCCATGTACTCACACAACAGCAAATAAAAAGAAAATTTATGACAGCAAAATATCCAAAAGTGTAGCAACTTTTTGAGCTCAAATAGCAGCTGTAACATTGAGGTTTCAACCCGGAAGTCGAAAATTGAAAATAACGTTAAATGAGACACAAAATGTGCATTTTCAAGGATAACATTATTTAAAAATTGCATTACATGGCTCGTTTGTGTTCTCTCTTTGGGTAAAATTACACATTCATTTATTCCTATTCAGTTCATGTGTCCACGTGGTCTGCGCAGTGAAGTTAACTGCGCGTGCGCAAACCACGATTTGACGATTTTCACTTCGGGATACACAGCCTTGAATCGTTCCAAAAATCGAAGTTTCAGCAAAAGTAAAGAAAATTCTTGTTGTAAAATAAAGTTGCCACACAATTTCGAAAACTTTGTACTGCGCTGCACCGTGCTTTGCTGTTAACGTTTTGTGCTCCTACTTGTGCGCAAACCATGTGTTCTTCCCATCAGGTTGTTTTGCTTGAAAATGGCATCATCTTTCAGTTGGCCCCAGGTTCACTTTTATAAGCATGTAATGTTCAAATCAAATGTTAACGTCTCCCTCTACGGTTTGATATTTCTGAAACACTACATGGAGGAATAAGAATTTGGCCGGAGAATGCCCTCCATCTCATCATTTGAAGTTACCACAGCTTCCCGCAAAGCCTCATCTTGTTCGCGACTGAGATCCACACATTCCTTATGCAGCATATCTGACACCTTATCCTGAAGTACATTTACTCGTCGTTTCAAAGTTCTTCTTTGAGTCTGAAGGAGAGTCACTTTATCCTTCAACTGCTTCTTCGTCATATGTTTGTTTGGCATGGATGAGGAGGCAGAAATGGCCTGGTTGCTCTTGGACTTAATCTTGCTAGTTTTGGCCATGAGGTCGCTTCGGTGTACCCGGCAGACAGTACATCTGCCCTCTTCTTGAATTAGAAATCTGCATTTCCTGTGCCTTATTGTCCCTTCAACATAGGAGTCTTGCAGGGTGATGTTCACTGGAATTTGGCCATTCCCTCCTTTTTCCGCCTCTACCAACGCAGGGAAATCCTGGTTTCCGACACAGACATACTTGCTGCTTATGTCTTTGAGCATTCGGCGGACATCTTCTTGACTCAAACTCTCCCCAAACTCCAGCCAAGCATGATCCTCACGGGCAATACAAACACCACTTATGACAAGATCCCATCTGGAGTTTGGAAAAATGGTTAAATAAACCGCAGGGCGGCAGGTTGATGTTGACATTTTCATGATCTGCAGGCATCCCGGACCTTGCCACGTGACCAAACCGACATCTTTGGCTGCTACTTCCACATCAGCCATGGACAATTCTTCTTGTGCATCCCCTGTAAACATACAGCATGTATCGCAACTGCTTCTCTCAAAGGTGACCGGAGTAATGTAGCACGACGCTTTCATCTTTTTGTGCTTGACCTGCACCCACCATCTCTTGAGCTTTCCCTCACAAACCTTGCAGACAAACGGGGGATGGACATCTTGTATGTCACCAGCAACGGAAATACCCAAAGCAGCCACAATATTTGCAGACAGTTTCTCCTTCTGTATTGGACGGCGACCTTTTTCAATGGACCTCTCCACACCGCACAATCTGCAGATACCTTGCAAACACTGCCTGTGTTGCGGCATCTTCATCGATTATCTAGAGAAAGAGAGAACAGCTTTTTTCTTAATGTCCAAAAACACAATAAATTTGCCTACTCTTATTCTTAATCAGTGTTCACCATTTTAACTTAATTTTCTTCCATGCATAATAGTATAAAATACATGTGTATATCCGTGGAGGAATAATTCTTGGAAGGCCTCCCAAACCATGGGGGAATGACCAACCCAACAAAATTTATTTAAAAAAAGTTTTAAAAAATTGCAACCCCCCCCCCCCCCAAAAAGGCAAAATATCCCGCGGAAAATTAGAATGAAAAACTAGTTCCTTTTTTTTTAGCAAAGCTCTTTTATTAGTTTATAACTTGTTTAGGCCTTACATTGTTTAGCTTATTTTTATCACTGAAAATTGAGTTGGTCTGCAAGTGCAACATTGAGACAGATTTCTACTTGACGATCAATCAGTCATTATTGCCACAACATTCTTTTTACTTGTTATTGTCCTAAAAAAATAAATAAAAAAAAATTTTCTAATTATAAAAAGTCAAGTCAAAAACATGATAAATCTAATGTAAAAAAATGTGAAAAATAAATATGGCATGAAAAAACACAGCTCTACTGGAAGCATTTCAAATTAAGTGACTCCACAAATATATGTAACTTTTTCAACAATGAATAAACATTCAATCCTTCAATACCATAACACGATTAATAATGGCTTAAGATTTAATACGAATCCTCAAAAATATATTTCTTGAACATGATGAAAGTTGATGTCCAACAAAATGTCAAAAGAATCCAGAATTCACAAAAAATAAGTCTTGAAATTCTATTAAAATGAACGCAATAAGTAACGAAGATTCGTATCTCACCGTTCATGATCGTTTTTGAAAGGAAAAAACAACAAAAAACGATCCCCGAAAAAATTTGTGGAACAAACTGGACACTGAAATGGAACACACACGAACGGACAAAGAAAAGCCCAACGAACGAAATCGTCATGTTTACATCAACTGCCGACCACTGGAAAGCCCCTAAAATCGTCAAAATATGGAATCATAATATATGAAATATGCCAATATATTCTAGAGGCAACAACGAATGTATCTTACCATCGGAAAGTCCGATTTTGGCGAACGAAACACCAAATTTTTTCGCTTTTCGAGAGGAATTCGCTGAAGAAAATCGCGCATGAGGTATACTGACACTGGGTCACTGTACTGAGCATGCGAAACGTGTTGTATTCGTGTGTTTAGTTTTATTTACTCCATTGACAACGAGCGATTCGTTCCTCCACTGTGCATCAGTACAGTGTGGCCACTGCTTGAAAAAAATTTCAAGATCTTGAAAAATTGAGACCCAACTTGAAAACTTGAAAAAAAAATGAAAAAGCAAGAAATCTTGAAAATTTTCAACTAAAAGTACAAAACCATACGTTTTGTAGAAACTTTGACAACTTTTTCCACTGAACACCCGAGCTTTTTAGCGACTTTTATTTTTACTTTGTAATTCTTTTAGCATTGGCGCGCTATACATGTACTTACGGTCAGACCCTGCGGTGTATGTAAGCTCAGGCTAGGCACTGCGACGCGCGCTTCATTACAAGAGGGCATTGTGACCGTTTTAGCCGATTTTCGGCTAACTTTGACAGAATTTTTGTTAAAAAAGGAGTTTGACTGAAAATTTGACAGAATGGATTTTTTGGCAGATTTCTGGCAGGATTCTGCAAAAATAGTATTTTGACAGAAAATTAACAGCAAATTTGAAAAAAAAATGGCTCATTTGTTGAAAAGAGCTTCAAAAAACCCTTTGCATAACGGGGACAGGTTGGCTGGTCTAGTAATTTTCATAGGCTTGAAAAATCTTGAAAAATTTTAGATGGCGATCTTGAAAAAAACAAAAAACAGAGTGGCCACACTGCTGTGCATGCACTCGCGGCAGCCAACCCTGTTCTGTCGGTCAGTGGGCGCGCAGCGGGAGGCCTCCATGCCTTAACCACTGGTCAGCCTGGGTCGCTAATTGGTCAGTAAATACCCTGTGGGGCTTGGCGGGCCGTTCAAACTCCATGGGTTCTTATTCCTCCATGGTAGACTTATATCAAAAATCAAGCTCATCACCTCGGAAACTGCACATTTGTGGCGCGGCCTATTGCCATTTTGCAATAGGCTGGCTACGCGCAATCATTACCGTGTGATTTTTTAATTCACGAGGCGGGATTCAGGCTTATACACGTAATGCTTATAATTTGCATGCCTCCTGATGTAATCAGGTTCACTGCTTGCTACCTGGCCCATTTTTGAAGTCCGTTGGACAATGGGAAGGGCTGATGAGCTTCACAGAATCTTGTGAAGGAAGTGATGGGGATGACATTCTGGGTAATTTATCATGACGTATATAAAGACATCCAGCTGCAGCTGTTTAACTACTTTAAGACCGCGGTTAGTAATGCGCGCAAATGCTATCCGAAAACCTTCTCATTTGCATACATTCCATGCCATGCCGGATGTGATTTCTTTTTCATTGCCGACCATGTGGACAAATTTAAGGTCGCATAAACTTGTGATATGCAATTTGACCCTTCGTGAATTCGAAACGGAACCTGAGCAAGTGCCGGGAATAGACGATTTACAAACAGATAAGTTTTACAGATTTTCCTACAGAACGGAAATAAGCATTAATGGGAATGAAAGAGTAGTGACTCGGCCGAAACGGCCGTTTAAACCTTGCAGGGTCGTGGTCGTAATGACGTCCAGGTCACAGATCAGGCAAATTCTATCCAATCAGAGCGTGAATTCATCAGTCCTTCCCAGCGTCCCGTTTTTGCAGGGCGGGGTGGTACGAGCGAATTGGTTGGTCGTGATTACGCCCTCTCGCGGCGGTGGATTATCGCGGCGGCAGGCTATCCTGCGCCTTAATAATGTATGTGCAAATACATGTAGAACACTATGCTGGTCCCTCTGGGAAAAAGCCCAGAGTTAAATACCGAAGCTGACTTGCTCGACACTGCCACGGCACCAGCTGTGAAAGTCCACACAAGAAAACTAAACTGGGATGAAGAATCGCCCCGACCAAACACACACGAACACACTCGAGCTGTAGACCAATAAATAAACCATCACTTGAACTAATAGTCGCGACCCGGCTGCCCCGTATGTGTCCCCGGAGCCCCCCGTCACGCTGCCCGGTATGCGTCCCGTGCCGGCCTCAGCGCCGACTTCTGACCCATTCGCCATTTATTCACGAACGCTTGACAATTTCCCCTTTCCTCCCCTCCCCCCCCCCCCCAACACTTGATGGTTGCACAACACAAATTGATTCCCGTGCTAGTGAGAAAATAATAGCCTTTTTTTCTGCTTGAAAAGTCGATCCGTTTTACACAAAATGGGAGCCAATGTCAAAATGGATTGCGAAATAACGCCTCTATAACGAACACCGCTTAAACGAGCCTTTGGCTATAACGAACGTCTTCTTTGGCTCCCAAAAAATTCTATTATATTTTGCACAATCACTATTACGAACAATCATTATAACGAACGACCATTATCACGAATATTTTTTACGGACCCCATCGTGTTTGTTACAATGGTGTTCTACTGTATACGAAAAACACAGCATTCGAATTGACCAATGAGACCTGATTTCGGAATGAAATGACGTCACGATTTAGTAAAGTCGGCTCCGATTGGCTGAGGCGTGAGATCCATTAATCTGCATGCTTTGACATATCAAACGTTAAACAGGAGACTTGGCTCCGTTGATAACAGGTGATACTAAGACTACCCCCCCCCCCCCCCCCACCCCCCGGCCCCCCCCCTCCCCACCCGCTTCAATCCCGTCGAATGAGGGCGCTTTTCAGCTGTTCTGAGCCTTCTGATAAAAATAAACCTTCGGACTATTGCATCAAATGTTCGGACTAACGAACCTTATTTCATTTTCGGACTAACGAACCCCCTCTTATGGAAATTGAGTGCATTCGGACTATCGAACCTTCGGACTATCGGACTATCGGGCGGCCCCCGGATGTTTCACCCATGCCACTGGGCTTTACACAGTTAGTGATATCACTGCATCAGATTTGAATGGGCCTTTTCACTCTGATGTAAATTATTAATGGGGTGTAACCGTAGGCATATCCCTATGCGCCCACCGTTATGGTCCCTACATTTGCGCTTGGGGCATTCCCCTCATAAAATACCCCCCCCCCCCCCAACAGTCTCTTGAGAGATCGACACCTTTATTTCCGTGTAATTTCACTGATTACTGACTGACCTCTTTTCCTTTCTTAATATGCGTCAGCCTTATCTTGCTAATTGGTCCCGTGGGGGAAAGATTCAGGCCCGACCTCAGCCACCCCTGACATGCGCCTCTTTTTGTAAACACTCGGCACCTGTCACTCAAACACCTGTGAGAAACATTAGCCAATTCATTATGCTAATGAGTTTAGTTTGTATGCCCATCACCCCTGTCGTGCGTTTTGATGAGGTTAGAAAATTAAACAAGGGTCGGTCGTTGGCTGTCGCGGTTTGGCTATAAAAACATGTTAATCAGGGCTATGGAGGCTGGACCATAAAGGAATTTTTGATCACAATATTTTGCTTGTGTCTTGCAATTTCAGAACAAGGAGAAGCAAAAGTGTGGCTTTTTACTTTACAATATGATGGGAAAAGATCCTTTCATTCTTTTGAGGATTTGTGTTTCAGGATCGAATGCTATTTATAGTCTTCAGTCCTGGTCCAATAACTTGGTACACTATGTCATTTATCGGGTGAAGTCATGCAGTTCGTTTTCGAATTCGAAAGCGTAGGACTTCATGTGTGATTCCCAAGACTTGACTTTAATATGTTGCATGTTTCACTGAAGGGCCCATGCAATTTTAAGTCTGTCCTTAAAAATGCACCTTTGTGTCCGATTTAACCTTTTTTTTTCTTCAATTTTTTGTTTTGCCATTTTGAAGGGTATTGTGGTACTTTTTTACGCTAAAGCGATTTTCCATATTCATGAGCAAAACTGTGATGTCATTCTGAGCAGAAACCTCAATATTGCAGCTATTTCAGCACAAAAAGTTGCTAGAATTTTGAAAATGTTGCTGTCATAAAACTGTCTTTTCTTTGGTTATATTCATTATTTTGTAAGTTCACGGCAGTAAGCCAATGAGCAACCCTTTCTCACAAGTGTAAGCCAAGGAGCAACCCTTTGTCACAAGTGTTTTCAATGAGCAAATTTTAGGTTCACAATTTGAACCAATAAACCCTAAACTGAACAGTCTGTTCCTGAAATGACATCACAGCAACAGCGCCCTCAGTTGTCAGGAAAAGCGTGGACATTTTTTAATGTTTAAAGAAGTGCACTTTGCAAACAAATTAACCAGAAAGGGATGTCAAATAGTTTTCATACATTTCAGAGGAGCAGAAAGTTGCATAAAATGGAGAGAAAAAAAAAGAGTCACTGCATGGATCCTTTAAGGTTACGAAGATCTGTCATCAGATTAAGCTTGTACTTGTAAGAAAGTTAATTCACATGTATGTACTTCTTTCAAGTTGGCATGTTATTCCAGCCCGATAGATTAAAACTTGTTTCAAGGAAACTTCATCTTAACTACCGTGCTTCCTCTAATCTCAAAAACTCATCGGACTCATAAGCTGATCACCCAAGCCATAAAAACTACTATTGTGCTGGAAACTCAGCCCCGTCGTTCCTGACAAGCGGGAGCCTAATTCGAGGAAACTTCCACGAGAATTTCATAATTTTCCCCCCTCCAGCCCTCACAATCCCCCCATTGTATGGTCCCTCCTCGCCAAGCCAGTCACGCACATTTCACAGACTTTTTTTTTCTAGTTTCACCATGGTTTCACCGCCATAGTACCCGACGACCTCACTCATGCAGGGCTCTGCCGTGAAATGCAACCCAAGCACCGATCGGAAACCGAGGCCAGCGCGCTGCTCCGCGGAACAATCCGCGGGGGAACGGGCTTTTTTATGATATAAATGCCCGGCTCGGGTTTCTCACCCGGGAGTATTCTCCTTTCTCGGGCTGTCTTTGGCAATCTGGGTCAGCAACATTGCCCCGGTGTTTGTTACACTACTGTCTCGCATGCACCGGGCCGCCGTACAGCTAGCCTTTCAGTTCAGAGAGACAAGACTTCTGAGAGCTGGGTTCCGGATTTGGTGAAACTTGAACGGTCTCACGGATCAATCAGTCCCGTCTTAGGTTTCAAGCTCGAGCTCGGGAATGGCACTGAAGTGTCTTCAGCTTTTGTCTGTCATTCCGAATGCTCGAGTCAATACATCATGGGAAATATTTCTCTCTATTTTTTTCTGCTTCTGTCTGCTTGAAATTCTCTTCCCTTTCTCTTTTGGGGGCACGACAGATGTTATTCGAGCTACGTCCCAATTCATCATGTGGAGAGGCGATAAATATGTCTTATTCAGAATTTGCCAAAATAACCTGGATGTATTAATATATTTCCTATTTTTTCGGTCTGGCATTTTTGAAAGTCTAGCCACGTGCGGGGAATTCGGACAAGGGTCTGGGTCATAACTTGTCTCCAAGTTTCTAAATACCAGAATCAATTTTAAGTCTTAAATAGCAAGGTTTTATGACAGACACTAAAAATACTGGCTTGGGGGGGGGGGGGACAAATTAAACGTCATTCATTTTACAAGTAGGAAAATGGCAAGCAGGTGTGGAGATATACCGTTGTTTGAGTTCCTGCATTTTAAAAGAAATTCAATAATATTTTTCATAAGCCTTTGAGATGCATGTTTTGTTGCCCGAGTTTTATCTTCTTAAAATTCAGGCTTTGACTTGTCCACCCTCATCCCATCATCCGACCCCCATTTCACACGAACACAGTTAAGTTCGTGAAAAAAAATACGCCCAGTTTATTGCCTTAGCTTTTCATCTGAGTCCTGCTACAAACCAAAAAATCAATAGGCTTCATTAACACATTGTGAGTTGGGCAACACCAGCAATCAATCAAACAGTGCACCTTGAGGATCGTATAACAAAGACGGCCTGAAAATGTGAGATCAACCCTTCCACACACAAAAAAGAAGAGATCGTCACCCGAAGATACGACGATCAATCAAATCTGACTTGTTCATCTATTATACCTGTCCAGAGTCTGGTGCAGCTCCCATACGATTGCAACAAAAGGGGCGGGAACCATACTATTGATTGACATGCGCATTAAGTCACAAAGCGATTTCGTGATTTATGACCGTACCATGCAATTTAGGGGTGTTGCGAATTTCGTTTGCATTCATTTACAATTAAAGTAGGCGTTTTGGGAGACAATGTCATCCATGTGATCGGCTGGAATTTACGTGAATTAGGAATGGCGTGGTGAGTGAAAACTGTGACTGTAATAATCAGAGGTTTAAGGACAAAATTGACTTCACGGGATTGAGCAAACATTCTGGCTCACCTTGTTCAGTAGTAAACTCGACCGTGATCCGGTCGACGTAAATAATACATCATTAGCAAAGTGGGTTGGCAATCTTAAAGTGTCTTTTTATCCCTGTTTTGTCCGCCAATGCCCCGCACTGCGCCCTCCCGTGGCTACAGTATTCAGCAGACGTCAAAGAGAAGGGAAAAAACCCAAGCAATGTATGTCTGGCACTAAATTGGCCAATTCTGTGGGGTTGCCGTGTCGAGTGTGTATTTATTGGCAATACATATGTGTACATTCTCGTTGGTAGGCTCATGTGTTGAGTCATACACCGCCAACTATTCAACTATAGATGCGCACTTCACTTTTAGGTGACTGTACGGAACTGACTCGGTGATACAGCAGACTTTCTAGTGCATTCACTGCAAGCATTATCTCGCTGGGACGACGTACGATTATCATTTACATCACCGCCGCTCGCACTGCTGCGCTGCATACCGCACACGATACAGTGCTCGCCGGCAGAATTCTTTTAGACTCAGCGCAAGGAAGTTGGCCGTCTGCGAAACAAAAATCGACTTTTTCTTCCAGACAAAGTGAATCATTTGTTGACCAAGGGCCATTCTAGCTGTGTGTACTGTGCGTGTGTGCTGGCTGGCCTTGTGATGTTGCATGCCAGAAGCATTATAGGCAGCCACACAAATTGAACTCCTGCTTTACCGCAAGGCAAATAGATTCAACCGGTGCTGTTTGTTTTGGGGAAAATATTTTGCCAGTGTTGCTGCCGTGAAAGAGAGGACCATTTTTGGAGTGCAGCCGATTCGAAGGAAACACCGTATATTTTTTTGGTGTGTGTCATTTATATCTGTTTAATTCGAGAGGGATAGAGTTAATTGTTGATAACGCGATGATCGGGTCTGTGGTGGTGGTGATGGCAGCGTGTCTGGCCCAGATGACGGCCGGGTTTGCCATGGATCTGTCCGGTCGGATCACCAAGCCGACCTGCGTGGACATCCCCGTCGATCTCGCACTCTGCCAGAACATCGGCTACAACCGGATGCGGATGCCCAACCTGCTGGACCACGACTCCATCTTCGAAGTCAAGGACCAGTCGCAAGGGTGGATCCCGCTCTTGATGGTCAACTGCGACAACGACACCCAGCTCTTCCTCTGCTCCCTGTTCTCGCCGGTCTGCCTGGACCGGCCCATCTACCCCTGCCGGTCCCTCTGCCGGAAGGTCCGGCAGAACTGCGAGCCCATCATGCTGCGGAACTGCTTCCCCTGGCCGTCCATGCTGGAGTGCGACCGCTTCCCCGAGGACAACGGCCTGTGCATCCAGTCGGAGATGCGGCAGAGGAACGCCACGGATCAGCCCACCCAGTCCAGCGGCAGCATGATACCGTCGGGCATAGGCATGTCAGGTGAGTGGCGTACACGCCAAGTCAATAATACCAATCAATTAACTAATTGAAGCACCTGCTGTACACTGAAGATTAAGAGGACAATAGCCCCACGCATTTACACTGACCACTGTGCATGGTGTGCCCATTCTTTCCTTCATGGTGTGCCTAACTAATATTAATAATACTTTCAACATGTTCAATTCAGAAGTTCTTGTTGGTAATCGTAGTAGACGGTGACTGCAGTTTCGTTTGTTTTGTTTTTTCCAAGTAAAGAAAGGTTTCACCAGTTGTGGCATTTGAGCTTATCTCGGCGTTTCAAGCCTGATAAAGTTTTCTTGCAAACAGGTGCTGCTTGTTCATATCCCTTTTCCATATTCATTCCTGGGGTGAGAAGCGATTGACCTTGTAAGTTGCATCTTTTGTCAAGAAAGTCTCGTCATCGATTGCATTCAGTCAATTAATCACATTCACCAATTCCCCACAAAAACATCAAAACAAATGTAGACCTGTCCGTCGAATAAGTATTCACAGTATCAACATGATCAAGCCCTTTTTAAATTAATAATATCGCCATGATCGCAATAGATCAAAATCTGAGTGGTCTGATTGAATTAAATGGTCGCATCTAGAGGCATGTTCATTGTTCAGAAGACAGGAATGTAAATTTCAGGTTTTTTTCCCGTATAATAAGTTGTTGATTTCCTTCCTGTCGATTTGTAAAAGCCGTTCAAGAAAGTGTCTTAAAGTTTGTTTCAGATTTTAAATCCTTCATATTTTGTAACGATGCCTATCTAGCGGAGTTGTTGTGGGTTTAATGAAAATTCAAATATTGTTTTAACTGTGAGCCGAATTGTCATACTGTTTTTATCCCCTTGGGAACTACCTTACTTGTCATACTAAGCTGATTAACGTTTGATAAAATAGCGTGTGTTCCTCAGTTTCTTAAGTCTTTAACTCCCTTTCAAATATTGTTTTAACTGTGAGCCGAATTGTCATACTGTTTTTATCCCCTTGGGAACTACCTTACTTGTCATACTAAGCTGATTAACGTTTGATAAAATAGCGTGTGTTCCTCAGTTTCTTAAGTCTTTAACTCCCTTCCAATGGCATTTTTAGCTTCCACCATTTCTGTCTTATACCAGCAAGTTAAAGAGTCACTGTAGCTGTACTAAATTGATCAAGTAATTTGATAACCAAGAAGGTTCCCAGAAAATGCGAATTATTCAAAAAACGATCGTCGTTTTATCTTTAAAAAATATGTCCCCGAACCCGAAGAAAACATTACAAAATTCCGAGTGCTATAGGTACCGGACTTGTGTCATACATACCCCCCCCCAACTCCCGTCACCCCTTACCCTCACCTAACCCTCCGGATTCAATTAAGACTTTCTCCTGTGTGGGCCAAGGCGGGTGGGGGGGGGGGTTCCTCCATGTTCCTCGACTTGTATTTGATTTTTTCTTGGCGAGGTCAGGCGGCCTTTCTTGTCGATCGATGCGCCGCGGTGCCCACCCGGCGCCGGCCATGGGGACCCCCCGAAGACACTCAGCGGATAACCATCTTCCTCTACGTCTCTCTCTCTCTCTCTGGCCGTCTCACCCTACACCCCCCCCCCCCCCCCCTTCTCTGCCGTCGTCTTCCTCCACATCAAAAGATCTTAAGGCATTTTGCACAAAGACAAGACGATTTTTTAATTAACTGAATTCCTATTTTTCCCCCATAGCCACACTTTGCCCTTATACAGCGAAGGAATGTCGAACTTCCAGACAGCGCCTTGCTGCAACGAATATTCCATTCCAATTTTTTAAAATGTGCAAAACACATCTTCATCAGTATGGCTCCTGGACCTTTTGTCTCGCAGTGAGTAAAACGATGTACATAACACATTGACTGTTAATGTCACTTGTTAGCACACCAAGAATTTATCAGTGACTCAGATTAAATGTTTCAAAACGTTGTAGGCAATTTCCATCAAGGATTTGGATTTCTTTTCATTTTGGCTGGAGTTAAGTTTATTTTAAATTTCGCTGCAACTTAATTCAGACAAATTAAAAATGGATGCCAAATTCAACTTGCCACTCGTTCCCCAGGATTAGCGGGAGCATTGGCGAATGAAATCCAAACTTGAAAAAAAAAACGTCTTGAAAAAATAAATCGTTTTCTAAAAACATGGAAATTAAAAACACACATCACTTTTACTGAGCCATTGTCTGTGCAGACGAACCCCGACGCTGCTGTGTGCTCTCTGCGGTGTTGCTAGGGGGGAAAATACGTCTGGGATTTGTTTAACCACGTACTCCCCGGGTGAATTCAGCGTGCTCAGTTTCCCACCGTGCTGAAATTACTCAATTTTATTCTCATTTGGGCACGCACTCTCCTATTTTTGGCCATGTTGTTAAAGGCACTAGGAACATCCGTTATACCCGAAAACGAACCTTTCAATTTCATGAGAATAAAAACTTTGCTCTAAGTTAAGAAAGGAGTGTGAAAAAGTTCCGCCTGAAATAGTGTCATGTGGAAGAAAACAATCATTGATTAAAGGCGGTTAAAAAAAAGTGGGTCCGCCGGCACACTTTAAAAAAGACGATATTCACTGTATTCTGAAGATTACCCATGGCATTTGACCTCGGAGTCTTGCGCAATAACAAACGCCCGAGCGAGAATCATCATCCAGACTGCTGATTTAGTAGAAGATGTAAAGGAGAGATCACGAAAAGGTTGTTGCTTCAAACAAAAATAACGGAACAAAATGTGCAAAAGACACGTGATTCATAATTGTATGCCGCTAGTTTCAAAGGCATGTAGGATAATTTGCATTTTTCCGAAAAGTGACCTATCGAATTATTTTTTTTTTAAAGGCTTACTTGGAATAGCACTTAAGATCGTACTGTTACTAAACTCCCCGTGAAATTATTCCGTCTGGCTTGCTGTCATTTAGAAAAAGATCAGGAAGTGTAGGTGATTTCCAACGATCAGTCAGTTGGAAGATTTTTTTGGAATGCGTGCTATGGACGAAGTCCTGTTTCGTGATTAAAAGGTTGTGCATGGTTTTTCACTGTTTCTTCGAAAATGGTACTACCCACCGAGCTGAAACTTCAAAATGAAGGTTTTGAACATTCTTGCTTGGATTTGGAGTGGGGCAGTTACTGGAAACGAGCAACGTGCATACAAATTAAAATGATCCCAACTTCCGATAGATACACCTTAAAGAACCTCACCGCGCGCGTGCGCGTTCCTCACAGAGGACACTCCCGTCCCGTGGACAGTTTCGTCACGCACGCCAAGGCCTGCAAAACCAGGTCACGACTTTCAGGAGGTTGACATTCTTTTTTCCAGCCGCAGGGAGGAGGGGAGAGAAGAAGTAGAAGAAAAAAAACCTCGAAATTCCATGCAACCTCCCTGTGGAACCATGTTTTGCAATTTCACACAATTAGAATTCGGGAAGCAGTCTGTTCTCCTTGGCCGTTCCCTAGGGACGACTCCATAGCTTATACTTTTTTTACGATGCGCTTGACGAATGGGAGCTGACAGTTTATAACATGCATAAACAGACTGGTTATTAGACTATAGTCTCACTGTTTGTTCCTTCTCTTTTCAACTTATTTTGTTTCCGGTTGAGTCTTGTCTCGTTTCAAGGCCAAACCGCGACCATGTTTGCAAAATGTATTTGTCTTAGAATTTGGAACAGAGTGTATTTTGGAATTTCTTTAATTCCTTTTTGTGTGATCCATGTTAATTCATTTAGATACCAATTCAATTCACTTTATTTTCCACATAAATAAAAAGACAATCAGAGTTAAATATATACAAAATATGTGGATGGGGATCCCTAAAAAGCAATGTTTGTCGAGTAGAGATCCCCAGTTACAATCATACAAAAATATACAAGTTACACACACAAACAACACATAGGACATAACACCCGACATGAATATGGGAATAACATGCAACCCCGTGAAAAAAAGAGAAACAATTAAGTACTTAATTATTTTTCCAATAATTAATTTTTGTATTTGTGCTCAAAGAGCGAGAGACTGGAGATATTTTTTAGGGAAAAAATACCATATTAATATGAAAAGCGTATCGTTGAATGTTATTCTCTGAAGGGGGTGTTCTTATTGAGTAAATCCATTGATAAACGCCAAATTTAAGGTTTTAGAAGAGCGGGACTTGTGCAAGAAATGAACTAACGGTAAAAAAAGTTGAAATCATGACTAATTGATTGTTTATTTGAAACAATAAAATGGTAATTTTAAACTGCAATTTCGTTCGCCAGATTGGTGAGTATGTGTCAAGATATTCGTAAGTTAGGAGCACGTCAAATTTGTATCCACTGTTTGAAATTGGATTTTGATGGCTACCGTTTTTTGATTTATTTAATTTGTTTTGTATTCAAATAAACCATTCGCTCTGCTGTTAATTTATTGGCATGTTGCTTAAAGGATGAATGATTGATCAAGTTTAAATTAAAACGCCATTTTGCGTTATTTTGCGTGCCACTTGCACGATCGCATCAAGTTATACTGACGACTTTTAGTTGGGCCAAGATTCGTGATCGGGCGCGTGCCAACACTAGGGAGGAACTGGTTTCAACTTCGAGTGCAATTGGCAATTTAAAGAATTCAGTTTTCCCGAATGCCTGTCAGGTTTGGGTTGAAACGGAACACCTTGATCTGTCTAGAATTTCTTTTTTTTCTTTGACAAATCTTGTCACCGGCTATTACCGAGTTTCGAAATGCCCACGCCGGAGCTGACATAAATTCGATAATTTCGCGTCCGCCACTTGCTCTGTCCCTTGTACGCGATCGGGACTAATTAGTCTTCCCGGCCGTCAACTTGTTTGGAAATCCCAGTTACTTTAATCCCTCTTAAGCCGGCTAATCCTAATCCCAAATCCGTACAACGGCAACACAACAGATTCGTCAAGCCTCACATTTTTGGCAAAAGGTAAAAATACAAATCCCTCCTCCGTTTTGCCCCAATTACATCCGTCCCACATTCTTGAAAGATGAGTGGTACA